TCCGGCAGCGGCTGCTAGTTGTACCCCATCAGGAGAAAACGATCGGCTAGACGCGTGTGGTGGAGGACCGGGGCCGGGAGTGGGAGGTGCTCGCGGAGCGGGCGACCCTACTTGCTGCCCTCGGCGACCTGGTCCTCGAAGCGGCGGGAGCGCGTGCTGCGGATGAAGGCCGTTTCGCCGCTGGTGCCCGGTGCCGGGTGGTGCTGGTTTCGGAGCGGGTAGGTCGTGGTAGTTGGGGGGGTGGGAGGAGGGTGGTGGGTGAGACGGGGGAGGTGTCGGAGATGTGACGGAGGGAGCGGGCGCGGGTGCGGGGGATGGAGTGGTTGGGGTGGTGCTGGGTGATTTCGGTTTCGGGGGGTGTGGCGGTCGGGGCGGAGTAGGCGTCGCGTTGGTAGGGTTCGCGGTTCTTGGGGATTTGGAGCGTGTTGAGTTGCGGACGGGAGTTGGAGCGCCGGTGGTGAGGGATGTGGGGGTTTGTGGTGGGGGCTGGGTATTGTGTTGTTGGGTGTTGTGGTTCGGGTGATGTTGTGGTGGTCGAGCTTTGTGTTTCGGGGTCTTGGGCCACGTGTTCGTCGATCCGCCGCATGGTGGTGTCCACACTCCGGTCGCGGACCGACCGTGCTACCGTCCTCCGACCCCGACGACCCGGAGTGCTGAACGGCATATCCGGGTTTTGGTCTGGGGAGCTGTCGCTGGCGGGCGACATGGCACCCTTCTGGGTCGGCAGCTCCGGTAAGAGATCGATGCTTGCCGCTAATCCCGCGTCGCTCCTGCTTCGGTGAACGCTGCCTCGGTGGTGCATGTCGGGGCTGGAGGGTAGCCCAACAACGCCCACAGCTCGCGGGATATCGAGCGAGTTCTTTGGGCGCGACTGGGAACGCCCGGCCAAGGACCCTTGCTGATCCTCTCCTTGTCCCTCAAAATCCGTCCTCAGAGGCAGCGAAACCTCGCTCCGGCCATGTCGCATGGATAAGGGCAAAGGAGGCGGGGGCGCAAGGTCGACAGATATCGATCTTTGGTGTGAAGTGGCCTGGGGTGTCCGGCTCCGTCGCCTTCCCATGGCCTCTCGGTCTCCCATTCTCTTCCCCCGATTGGGGACCTTGGACCGGGCCGAAAAAGAGCTCGAGGACTCTGAATCGGACGATTCCGGGACCATTTCGCGCCTTGATCTCTGCTTCCGCACCGGCCGGCGAGCCGGTTGCTCTAGGTCCCTGTCCGAGCCGGCCGCCCTGGGTCCCCTGCCCCTCGAGGTTGCGCTTCGGCGAGCAGAGCTTCGCGCTCTGGACCGCCGGGGCTCGTCGTCGTCTACCGGCTGTTGCTGGTTTGCCGGTTCGAGAACAAACTGTTGCACGGCAATGGGCCCGTGGAGTGGGCAGGACAGTACGTTGGCGGACAGCTTCCTGAGCTGTTCTACTTTGCTCGATGTGTCCATTGAGCAGTACCTGCCCTGCTCGACCGCAATGCTGCACTTCAGCCATTGGATATAGTAGTGCTGCGGGCCATCCTCGCAGCCAGTGTACGGGGTGTAGTCGTAGGTGCACATTGTGGGAGCAATGGCGGGTGTTGTAAAGGCAAGAAGCCTTTCCGTCAAACAGACTGACGATGAAGTTGAGGTACGGTCATGACATGGTGAGGGATCGACAAGGATGTCACCCGCATGGAGGATGTCAGCAACCCTTATACCAGAGGTTGGTCAACACGGTGAGCCCCAGCTTGGCAACGTCTTGTCTTGGAAGGGTCACTCGAGCGGTGAGAAGTGAAAGATGGTCCACCGATCACGTTACTACCAAGTCTTGGTCCGGCTTGGCTGTGATGGCCATGACGGATTGCCCTCGTCGCCGTCAACGTTTGGTGGAAGGATCGTGAACTGCATTATCCCCCCGCACATGTCGAGTCGGTCTTGCAGAGTCAAAAATAGCAGTTTCTTCAGCACATCACCCGGAGCGAGAAGGCGATTGGCGATCCGGGCCTGCAATGGCGACCTTGGCAAGCTTGGATTGGTCTGCATTGGGCCGTCGCTCCGATTGCTTGGGTGTCGACCGCTGAAATCGACCCAGATTGGCTTGGCGTATGCGTGCTAGAGAGCGGCAGCGTGCAGCTGGGCGCTTAAAAGTTGCCGTGTGATGTGATGGGGGCGGGCACCACCAAAATGAGGAATTTTGGGGCTAGACGAAGCCCACCTGGAAATTCCGTCGAACCGAGGAACGAATCGGTCGCAGAGAAATATCGATAGTTTCGCTAACAATAGGACGAAGGAGAGTAAAATCGCCGAAATCAGTCTTCCAAGAAATTGGCAAGCAGGAATCAGCCCACGTTCATGCTTTCGTCCGAATTGATAAGTCGCTTGACTCGCTTCCCACCACAAGTCTATTTCCAGGTTACGTGACCCCGTTTTGAGAGTGAATGAACAATTTCAGCTGCCAATGTGCCAGGCCCGAGCCAGGCCAGAGCCAGGCCTTTTGCTTGACGAAAAAAGGGAAAGCGAACTTGGAAGACGAGACGGAAGGCACGGAAGACAATTGGAAGCGAGAATGCCGAATGCCGCTTAAACACCTCACAGTTCCTTTCCTTTTTCGGCAACACACGCAGACTCTCATCTGTTGAGCCATCTCGTTCTTTCCGGGTGGTGGGTCCAATTCTTCGTCATGCATTCCAATCAACAGTTGAAATCGGAGAAATTCCCAAGAACATCAATGGAAGAAAGAGGTCACCATGTGGCAGCGGCTCTGTTGGTGATACAAACCAGCTAGTTGGGTCCCGAGTCCTTGTCGCGCGCTTCGGAATTCGGGTGTGAGGTCTAGGCCACTGCGCCGGCCATGACATGCACGCACCATTCTGAGCCACTGAAAAGGACTAAAAACTCGGCCGTTGCCGCTTGCAGATTTGCTGTGCCGCTTGTTAAGCATGTATCCCCACGCTCGATGGTTCCCCAGAGTCGACACAGCCAACCAGCAGAAAAGTACCTGCATGACTGTCTCAGAGGTGGTTGGCCAAGCCTCAATTGAGAGAAGCTTTTGCATCAGGCTTCGCTGACTGCTCTGGCATTCAGCCACCGCGCTTCATCAGATTTTTTTCTTTGACTTATTCGTGGGACCGCCATCCGCGCGTTTAGATAGACATGTGCATTTGCATTAGTTCATTGACCTGTCCCATTCACATACACGGGCGATTTCACGAGTGAACTCCAGGAAAACAAAACCAACAAAAACCAACAAAAACTGGAACACCCATAGAAGTTGACCCTTCTGGCCGCCGTCAGGGTTACCTACGGAGAAACGGAACCCGCGTATTTGAGCACACGAATAAATGCAGAATAAACCCGGCATTGGCAAGTGTTTTTATGACAAGATCGAGGAGAACCAAGCGTTTACTTTCCTAATTTGGTATATCCGCCACCATGAGTGCGCCGTGATCCAAGCATTCCAACGGCCTGATCCCGTGAAGACCGCCCACTCAAGAGAACAAAACAATAGAACCACAACTCCTCATGTATCCATCCCAGTCATCCATCGTATGCAAAAACACAACTCATAGCTCATCACGCATTAACCCCCACCGTCATTTCACCCATCACCCCCGAGTCAAATCAACTCAACTACCCACTAACATAGTACCTCCCCTGCGACCGACTCCTCGACCGCCGACCCTCAGCCGGCGCCGCATAATACGCTGGCGCCGGCCTGACCGGCGCGCCAGCATAGTGCTCCTCGACCATCACCGGGCGCGGGGTGGACGAGCGCCTCCGGCTGTGATGGCGGCTGCCGCTGCGGCGCGAGGCGTGGTGATGGTGATGGTCATAATGGTGGTGGTGATGGCGGCCGGCGGACCTCGACCGCGAGCGGGCCCGCACCGCCGGCGGCACGGTGTCGTCGTACCAGCCCTGGCGGCCCGGGTCGGGCGCGTCGCGCGGCCGCGTGCAGGAGCGGATGATCCACCACAGCAGCAGGATGCCGACGACGGTGCCGATCACGATGCCGGCGATGGCGCCGCCGTCGAGGCCCGGGTTGGTGGTGGGGCCGTCGTTGTTGGGCGGGTCGGCGTCGATGATGACGGTGGTGGTGGGTTGGTCTTGGCGCGCGAGGAGCGGCCGGGAGACGGCTTGCGGGAGGGTTGAGGGTGGGCGCCATGGTGAGACAGCCTGGCGGGCGGGCCGCTGTTCGAGACGGAACTCGGCAGGTTTGTGGTACGGGGAAAATTTGCCGATCGGTGGCCCCGTGATGATGAACTGTTGGCTGGAGAGGTCCGAGGAGAAACAATCTGATATCATGGGTTAAGTAAGGATGGCAAACCAGGTGGCCTGTGAGAGTGCGACAAGGTCAGTTATAGGCCGACATGTCTCCAGTACACGACCGCAAGGTGCGTCGACTTTGCGCCGCACGTCATCACAGGCGCAGAGGGAGTTTGCATATTTCTTGGAACTGGCAAAGGTTGAGAGCCCTCCGGTCTCTCAATGCGACACTGGCAGAAGTCAAGATAGTTGAAGTTCCGATTTCACCGAGCTTCATTGGATTACAACGATGGAGCCTGTTGATCATGACGCCAATGAGGGGAATCCCAACATGTTTATCCGCTGGAACCTCAGGGACGCCCCGCAGCCCTCGGCAGCTTGGAGGGATGCTCAGGGCAGTTTTTCTGGATGGCTACGATGGCCAGAATGGGAATCACTTTGGAGAGTGATTGGCCAAGGAGAGATTTTCAGAGGGTGGTCGACGGACCCACATATGATGTCATCGATAAACTCTTCTAACCCCACCAACCCCACGGTTCATCCGAAGACGAAGACGAAGAACAACGAGTAGTTTCAATCTCTCGGTGTCTTGAAGGTAGGTAAGTATGTAGCATGGGGTATGGTAGCCAAATACGTGTTTGGCCTCAATGCGACGACTACGCATTACTATCCGAGGCAAGTGCGCGCAGAAATTATTGGGCCGAGAGAAAGCTTCGTGGCAGCAAAGTTGACAACAAACCGAAGAGTAAAGGGCAGCCAAGAATGAGAGAAGAGGCCACCGAAGGAACTCGTAGGTTGAGGAACCTCCAAATCGATGAGGGCCTAGAGAACCACTTACCACGCGGATTGGTGCGTTCGGGGCTGCCTCAACTGGTCAACCCACTGAAAGCTGAGCCAAGAGGGTCTGCTGCAAATCAAACAGCAGATAAAAAGTTGGGAAATCCACCAAGTGCTCTTGTGACGCAACCTCGCACACCCAGCCACAGCACAGCATCGGACTGCCCGAATTGAGGCCATCGATCCATCAAGCCACCGGCCATTATTGTAGATAATACAATCCATCTTCCAAACCATGAAGCTACCAACCCACTTTGAAGTTCACACTAAGCAATCCAACCCTCGATAACCCTGACATTGCAAATTTGCAGATCATCGAGAAAAACACCACACAACACAAAAGGAAACCATATCATTCACACAATGTCCGATCGCCGCGGTAGACGACGCAGTGATTACGACAACCGCGATTACTACGACAACCGCCCATACTACGACGACGGCGGGCACTATTCGTACGACAACCAGGATTCTTATGATGACTACGAGCCTCGTCACCATCACCGTCCCCGGCCGCAGCCGACCCGCCAACGCTCTCTCGGCCGCCAAGCCCTCGACAAACTCCAAAGCGCCATAGGGGGTCTCGTGTCAGACAACAAAAACACCAAACCCACCCCCCACCGCGCTCGCTCCCGCTCCCGTTCCCGCTCCCGCTCCCGCTCCAGCTCACGATCGCGCTCCTCCTCCAGAACAAGACACCACTCCCGCTCCCCCCCACACCGCGGAAGCAGCCACCACCACAGCCACTCCAACCACTCCCGGGACCGCTCCCGCTCGCGCGACCGCTACTACCCACCCTCCGCCTCCCAACGCCGCCGCGGCCGCCGCGACCGCCGCGACAGCACCTCCGGGACCGGGACCGGGCACCACGGCGCGCCGGGATCGTCGGAGCGCAGCCGCAGCCGCTGGGAGCGGGGCATTAAGGCGGCGATGGAGGCGGGCGCGGCCGAGGCGTTCCGGCTGCGCAAGGAGCCCGGCCCATGGACGGGGGCTAAGGGCGGGCGGATTGCGACGGCCGCGCTGAGTGCGGGGGTCATTAGGGGGGTGGCGGCGGATCATGGACATGGGAACCATGGTGGTGGGGATGAGGGCCGGTCGGGGGGTGGGAAGTTGGGGTCGTTGGCGTCCGCGGCGGGGGGGATGATGGTGAATAGGCTGGTTAATGGGTCGAGGAGGGAGGTGAGGAGGTGATTGGGGGATGGGTGGGTGGGTTTGGGCATGGGGTTTATGATAAGGGTTGATGATGGGATATTATGACTTGGGATGTTTTTCTTTGGTAAAAAGCGTTGATGATATACTCATACTGAATTACGGCTTGTTGGGTTTGAACACAGAGTTAGAGTCTCTCTCCTTGAGCATAATTACAAAATGTTTTCTTCTCGACCTGCAATTTCACAGGCACTTGACCTCCCCTGTTTCCATGTCATTACCTAGCACGGAGCCAAACTCGCCCTGCCAAGCCATCACCATTCTTCGTACATGGATGGGTATGTATTCGTACCTAGGGGATGATGATATTTATCTGATTCTTGAGTAGTACCGCTATGTCCGTTGGGAAAACGCCACATACCTTATGAACGCCTCGACAACAAATGCCAGTCAACTTCAGTCACAGGTGATAGTCAACAATACAAACAAATCCTGGGACAGCTCGCAGGAATCACACGGAACTTCATATTCAGTATCAATAAATGACCAGCGCTGCCTCCCATCTTATCGGCTCTAGGTAGCCATGCTGCATTCCCATACAGAACCTCCTCGCCTTCAACCCGACAGCATACTCCCGTCTCTAGTGAACCCAAAGCATACTAATTACATACGGTTAATGGCATCATCATCATCGACAAGGTGCCGGGCCCCTGGGCGTCGGTTCTCCAGACCGCCGTCTCGAGCTTTGCACAGACGCTGCCCAGCATCATGGGCGCCGCGATAAATGCGAGGAACCTTGCGGCGATGGCTGCTGGTTTCGCGGCTGGACAGGGGGGCGCTGCAGCGTCCAACACGCCCGTCGCTTCCGGGAAGCCCCAAACACAGGCGGCTGCACTGGCTGACCCGGCGTACGCGACGGCGGCGACCATCCAGAACTTGGTCGACCACTACTTTGAGTACCTGGGCGGCGACAAGGGCACGGCCATCAAGTGGGAAAAATTCAACGAGGATACAACTGATTCCAAGGATGACACCACAGAGGATTCCGAGAAAGTCCCCCAAGGCCTGGCCTACCCTGAGGGGCCAGAAGGCCGCCATCGACGTGACCAACACGGCGCCGAACAGGAAGCTCCTAGGCGCATACACATCGCTGATCAAACTATCCGAGGAGCTCCAGACGCACCTCCGGAGGCAGAACGAGCTCTCGGCGTCCAAGGATCCCACCGAGGAGGTGGCCAAGAAGTGGCGGGCGACGTGCCGCAAGGCCCGCGACGATATCCTCGAGCTGGCGGCGTCGGCCAAGACCGGCGGGTCGACCAACGTGCCCATGGCCTTTGGGACCGTGCAGATTCCGCCGTCGGACCAGTCGGCGCAGACGGCGCAGCTCAACACGGCGATGCAGGGGGTGCAGATCGCGCAATCGGCACTCGACAACGCCGAAAACGCCTACAATGCGGCGGTTGAGAAGCAGGAACGCATGGCCAAGGCCATGGCCACGATCCAGGCCAGGCTGAAGAAGCTGCAGACGACGGGCAAGACGCTCGAGGAGATCAAGACGGTGCTGCAGGACTGCATCCAGGTGCTGGCAGACCTCATGGTGCAGATCACCCGCCTGGAGCGTTTCTTTATCGCGCTAACCACTCTCATCGACGTGCTCGTCATGCCGCGGGCCAAGCTCTTCGAGCGGGACGTCGGCAAGATTGGGCGACGCGGCATGCTGGCGGGTGTGCTCCGGGTCGAGGACGTGGACAAGCAGGCCATCTACGCGTCGACGCTCCAACTCAAGGCGTACTTCTCGCTGCTGGAGGACATTGCAACCATGTACACGATCGTGCACCGCGAGCACATCGTCGGCGGCGTGGAGCTCTGCTACGAGCTGTCCAAGGGTGTCACCCGCAACGACGGCATGCCGGAGCAGCAGGAGAAGCTGACCAAGTACACCGAGAATGCATCGGCCTTGGTGGCGGCCTTGGTGGCGGACAAGCAGCGGGAAATCTTGCGGACCCTGCGCGCCCGCGACGAGACAGCCCAGATCGAGGCCGAGATGGCTCGCTTCAAGATCGCCCCTGTCGACGACGCCGCGAAGCTGGCCATCGAGAACGGCGCCCGCGAGCAACAAGCCGTCGCGCAGGAGTTGCTGGCTAGTGAGCCTAGCGTTACTGTGGCGGCGGTACGCGTGGCCGAGGAGTCGGAGGGGGTCGATGCCAACGAGCTGTGAGTGAGGGGGGTTCTCTCCTACTTGTATCCGCGGATATTGCGACGAAAAGGTCTCGCATGTAGCATTTTATGTTAGCTTCACCTCCTTGCAATTCCACGTTGTGTCATTATGTTGCCGTTGGGTACCTACTTACCTAGGTACCTTAGACTTCTCACCATCTTGTCGTCCAAATCATGATCCATCCTTGAATCCCTCACTCCTTCATCTAGGTAGGTACACATTCAAATCACACTTGAGCACTTCTATGCCAACCATCCTTGGGTATGTGCATTGGAATACTACAAGCAAATACCGTCCGCGGCCCTACTTCTGGCGGCAACATGGTAGACATCGCCGCTCCGGTCTATCTCCGCGTTAATGTCTTAAGGCTAGACCTAGCCGATGGGCTGTGCATGTGGGCAAGTCACCAGTGTGGTACCGTTATAGGGCGAGAAGGAGACAGACCGCGTCTTCTTTGGCGCCATTCGGAGCGGTTTCACTCGGCTGTACGGCCAGGAGAAGTATTTGCAGCACCGTTAATACTTGGATCCCTGAACAGTAGATGCTCAGGAGATGTTACCGCGGTTGCTGGCCTCCTGAGTCAGGGCGCACAGTATCAGTGGTTAGCCGGTAAATCGGTAGTTTCAATGTTGCCAACAACTGTAGAGCGTCAGCGCACTTCCAGAAGTTGAGCTGTTGTCCGTGGAGCCGTGGTAATACTGTGGAGCATGTATGCAATGTTGGGTGGCGAGCGTTGCTGCGGTTTGGAGAGGGGGTAGCGGTTACGTCATACCCACCATCAAAATCAGCCGTGTAAGTCGACAGCACCTTGAGCACCAACCACAACAGAATACGGCTGGGAGGGAGAGTGGAGGGCTCAATGGCATTGGATGAGCGGGGAACCTGTCAAGTGTTCGTTTGACAAAGCCGAAAGGTGACGTGCCATGATATCATCAACGCGCAGCAGCAGGTTGCCAGACCACGGGCTCACTTCGAAAATGTCTATATCAACCTGGGATGTCATCATCACCAGATACCTTCCCTCTCAGTCCATACCACAACTTCCCCATATCAATGCAATATCTTGTACTTGAAGATCTTGAACCAACCCCATCAACAAACAGACACATCAATACCAAACCCAAACAACCACAACCACAATGTACCACAACACCACCCCCCAAGAGCGCGGCATCCGCAACCCCAACGCCCCCACCGCCGCTCCCCCCGGCGGGCTCACCTACGGGCAATCCCCCACCTCCGGCCCCGCGCCCACCACCGCCGGCCACCACAAGCACGACATCATCAACAAGCTCGACCCACGCATCGACAGCACCCACGACCGGCAGCCCATGCCACAGACCAGGAACAACAAGATCCCCGAAGGCACCTACGGCCCGCACAGCTCCCGCCTGGCCAACGCCCTCGACCCGCGCGTCGACTCCGACCTCGACAGCACCACGCGCACCGGCGCCGGGACCGGGATGCACGGCACCGCCGCCGGCGCGGGAGCGGGATACGCGCCGCACGGGACGGCGCAGGCGGCCGAGGGCACGTACGGGCCGCACCACACGCGCATGGCCAACGCGGCGGATCCGCGGGTGGATTCGGACCGGGACCGGCACCATCTCGGAACTACTGGAGCGCATTCCGGCGGTGGTGGTGGTGGCATCATGAGTGGCGGCCCAGCGGCGGCGCCGTACCAAGGGGGTGGGACCCACGCCGGGATGGTGCCGGGCCATGCGGGAGCGGGCGTGGGTGCGGCCGCGCCGCATAATACCGCTACGACGACGACGACGACCAGCGCGGGGCCGCACAAGTCGGGTCTGTTGAATAAGTTGGATCCGAGGGTTGATAGCAAGACAGGGATGTATAAGGATACGGCTGGTGCTGGGACGAGGGGTGGTGGGTATTGAGTTTAGCAGTGGATGGATGGGTGAATGACGGGAGGGAAGGGGTGTAATGATATGATACCAGATTGCAATTCAGTTGTTTTCTTTCTTTCTTTGATGTATTTGTTGCATGGTAATAAGATCTCATTCTAGTTTGCATTGCATCGACCTGAAATACAAGACATGTGGTGGTATAGATTGACGTCAAGGATAGGTACCTAGGTAATTCGAGGAAGCAACAGTGCCCAGGAGATTACCTTGCACACCCAAATGACGATGCCGTAGGAGTAGACATGAAGAAAAGCATTCAGAGGTATCGACCTAGTTACCTAACCAGCCATCCCAGGAAACATGGGGAAACCTAAAACTCCCCTAAAAAACAATCGAAAAGGGGTAATGAGCCAGAGCACCGTGCACAACGTCTACCTCCCACGTTAACCCCAAACGACTCTTAACCAACCCCGGAGCCCGCTATCCATCGTCGTACCACCTGCCTAAAAGGCCTCCCTGACGACGTCCTCCTTCCCAAGCTTGGACCGCCGGCTTGCCGGCGTTCCGATCCGCCCCGAGCCCCGGCGCCCGGCAATGCCAAAGTCACCAGCAATGCTCTCCCGAGTGGCTGGCTTCAAACGTGCGTGGTTGACCATGTTGACCTCGTGAGGAAGAGCGACGATGACGTTCTTGTCAGTGCCAAACTTGAAGTCATCCGCCTTGACATCGTCCGTGTACCGCTTGATCAGGTACGGAGCCTTGCGGCCCGTCAGAACCTTCTTAAGGCTCCACTCGACGATGTAGGGGCCTGACGCGGTGATGATGCTAGTCTCTTCCGCGCCCTCACCCGTATTGAACTTGGCCGGCGTGAAGCTGACGCCCTTTCCGGTTTCGTAGGCGAATTGCGCGACGTGCTCCGGGGTCAGAGCTAGACGGCGGGGTTGCGGTTTGTCGTCGGCGGCGAACGGCTTCTCGAAGCCCAGCTTGCCCTCGTTCTTGCCTGATTTCTGCAGCGCGTCGACGAGGAGGAGATATGTCCGGCATGTCGCAAGAACCCAGCGGCCGTCTGCCGAGACATCGAGACCAATGATAGGTTCACCCAGAGCAGGTATGTGCGTCTTGGCATTGATGCCCAGGCGATCGAAGAGCCGGACATCGCCCTTGTTGGACGCCACCGCGATGTATCCTTTTTCGGTCGTCGCAACCGCCGAGAAATCGTTTTTGCTCGTGTACTGCTTGAGTTGGGCGTCAACCAGCTTGGTGCCGGACAGGCGGGGATCAACTCGGTAGAGGGCGTTTCTGCTGATGCCGAGGAATGTCGGCTCGTGTGTCATCTGAGCGAATTTGTTCTCGGGCGCAAATGTCACGACCGGGATGTCCTCATGCACGGTCCACTCGTCGACCACCTTGCCGTATTCCAGATCCATGCGGTACAGCTTGTTGGGGTCCGAGTCCTTTTGTAGAATGAGGTTTCGGTCCTCATTGTGGAGCATAACCTTCTTCGGGGAGAACAACTCGCCCTTGGGCGTCTCGACCTTTGAGATGTTGGTGCTGAACTCGAGGTGGTTGTTGGGCGTGTGTTTGAAGACGCCAATCTTGGAGCCGCGAACAACAAACGAGCGGTCGTGCTTGTAGCCCACGGCGAGTTGCTTGTTGACATCGCTGTCCTTGGGCTTGTACTCGACATCATCTTCTTCTTCGTCGCTGTCGTAATGTTCGCTTCGTGCCCGGTCATCCTCTTCCTCTTCTTCCTCGACCTGCTCCACCTCTTCTTCCTCCTCAGGGCGGTCCGAATCCTCCATTGTCAGGTCGTTGAAGGCGTCCGCAACATAATCCCGATCCTTGTCCTTGACCTTGGACCACTTCATCTCGTTCAGCTGCTCCCACAGAGCCTGCAAGAGACCCTCCTGGAACCGCTCGAGGGTGGCCTGATCCTTGAACCGCAGAAGCCAGGAGTAGGCTGAGCCATCGTCGGAAAACTGATTGAAGATGAAGGACAGGAACTCAAAGTTGAACACAGGGTTGATGTCGGCGACCACGGGGATGCCAAGCCAATCCCGATCAGCGCTTTTGACTTGGAGCCAGTACTGCCAATCGCCAATCTCTGTCACCGTCGCGGTTACTGATGCATCCTGCTGAACGAAGGCACCGGAGGGGAAGTCGAAGAAGTGAAGCTCGGCTACTTCTGCTGCCAGCATCTCGCGAGCCTCCGGGTGGGCCGAGACGACGGGGGGTCCCATGTCCCTCTCTTGGCCCTTCTTAGTCGGTGTGGCATCGGCCTTAGCGATCTTCTCACGCTTGACGCCCGTGTTCGCGGCGGGCTTTCCGAGCACCATGGAGTCGGAGGAGTCGATAGACCTGGCAATTGTCGGGCTGTGCAGCGGGCTGGCCTGTGGAATGGGTTGTTCGTCGAATTCGAATTGCTCTAGGTCCTCATCCGACGCAGTGGTATATGGTTTTCGGTACTTGCGTTCGTACTGGCATTGCTTCGCGACTTGCGCGAACTGTTCGACTTGGGCGGGCAAGATGGCAGGCTCGCAGACAAACTCGTAGACATCGCCCGCATCCCCGCTCAAGTCTCGCCAAGCCAGAACCCGCTCGCTCCCTTCGCGATTCTCGACGCGGAAGTGGAGGGCCTCGTCGAGCAAAAACGTCTTTTCATCCCGTTCCCCTGCAAGAATATCCGCGTCGGCTTCGGCGTCTTCACCCTCCTCTTCGGCGAGTAGCTCGGCCTCTCCTTCTTCGAAGACCCGTTGTACAACAAGCTGGTACTGGAAATCCTGCGCCGTGCGTCGAATGCGGGCCGATGCATCTTTGAAGATGAGCTCGGAGTAACCCTTGGGAGAAAGCGGTCGGACGAGGTAAAGTTGGCCTTGTGGAAGCTCAATCATTGACTCCTGGTTGCTGGAGCCGAAGAGCAGCTTCCCGACTGCATACAATTTGTTAGTTGCGCTGGAACTGGATTGATCGTCGCGGCTGAAGGGTCCAGAGGAGGCGGGGCAGAAGCCGACTTACCATTCCTGAGCATAAACATCCTGCCGGTGGGTTGGAAAAAGTGGAAATGACAGCTGGTAGCTCTCAAATTTGAGGAAGAAAAGTTGCAGAGATAAATCTTCGGGGAGATGGGAGAAGGCTTTCGCTCTCACCTGTCCCTGGTTCGCCTTTCCGACAGCACGGCACAACACTAATGCAGGATCTGGCTTTGTGTAACCCACTGAGAAAGCTGCGTCATAACAATTATGTTCAAAAAATGACCAGGCAACTGAATGGAGGGGAAGCAGCCTGTGGCGGTGCGTAGAGCCAATCGCCACAGCGAAAGAGGTGGGACTGTGCGCCACAGCGCCAGGGTTCCAAGGCAGCCGCCCCGCTCTTCCACAATTTCTGGCGCAATTGGTTGAAGCCATTCCGTCACATGTGCTTGATTCTTGGCCTCTGAGCACTCGCTGGCTCGCTGGCTGGCTCGCGGCTGGTCACTCTCGGTTGCAAATTTGGTGCAAGTTTTAGTCTAGTTTGTATTTTGGGCTGAATGTTCACCTAAAACTTGTCTGTCATTTCTCATCTCTCGTAAACGTTCCCAGAGACAACCCCGTCAAAAGGACCGCGCCAGGTTCCCCTAGCCCAAGATACTCTGCCTATCTTCCCACGCAAGGCCATCCCTGCTTTTGATGATGCTGTTGTCCTGCATCTCATCGACAATCAGGCGTGCAACGTTCTTTCCCATCAAGGCATTTGTCTCCATGGTGGAAATGAAGCTCTCCATACCGGACGTGTAGTAAACCCCGGAGCCGACGATGGGATCTTGGAAGGTAACCCTCGGGGTTGTCTTGGGGTACGAGTTGAACACATGTGGTGTGTACCATGAGATCAGGCTTCCCTCGCCAGTGAAGTCCGAGGGAACTGTGGCACCGAACAATCGGCTGCAGAGGTACCGATCAGCTACGCTGTCCAAAAACAACAAGGGGGGAAAAACAAGTGAATGATCACAAACCTTAGAAATTCGGGGGTGATGACCTCAGGGGAAAAGATCTTGTAGACGTATTCCTTCTGTTGAGTCTGCGGGTTTGTAGCTTTGCCCAGGATGCTCATACTGAAGAAGCCCGCTTTGCCAACTCCGTCGACACCAGATGCCGGGGTGTCACCATACCCCAGGGTGGTCAAGACCATACCAGGCACTTTCTCCGACTCCGGCAGGTCAAAGAACAGAGGGCTTAAGGGGGACGATGATGTAAAGATTGTGACGTGCAGTTGTACGTAAGTGATCTGTTCGATGGGGGTTTCGAGAACCCCATCACCGATGGAGATGCCGCTGAACTGATAGGGGTTTGCCATGATGATGTTGTCGAACGTGGTAGGGTATGTGGTTGGGTTGCCTGGAGTGCTTCCGCATGTCGTCTGAACCGTGTACTGCGCCTGCCCGGAGGAACCCCCTGACGTCTTGTCGATACCAACAACGGCTGTGTCAAGAAGTACTTGGGCTCCCGACCTCTGTACCATCTCGTGGAAGATTTGCCAATTGCCGCCTTGGACAGCGATCGCCCCTTCAGCGGCCAAGGAAACCTGGGACGTTAATGGTGTGACTACTAAGGGGGGGCTAGCAAGCGTACCATGGTGGTGAGCCCATGCAGGTTGGCAAGGTTGGAGGCATAATTGACTCGCGTGCTGGCTTGGATGAGATCATGGGAATAATGGGCGCCGACCTGCATTGTTAGCAGCAGACAGATCTTCGTTATCCGAGGAACTTACGTTGTTGGACTCGAGGTATTCCTTTCCAGTGACACCCGTCGCCTCAACCAGCTCAAGCTCCTGGGCGCGTTGGGTGAGCGACGAGAACGGGAAGAACGGTGGCTCGTAGAGGCGAAGGAACTTGGTGATAGTCGCGGCCGTCAACTGCTGAGCCCTCTGCGGGGCTGTGACTCCATAATGCCAGACAAGCTTAAGGGTGTTCCACCAGGAGGGGGCGCTTTGGTCGATAGTGAAGGCGAAGCGGTCCCCGTCCCAGATGCCCAGAACAGGATCGGCATCAGCGTCTCGAACACTGGGCGGGAGTTCAAAATCCGCCATGGCGTTTGACAGAATCTGGTTGGCCTGGACGAAGATGCTTGCGCCCTGTTCAACCCGCTGAGCCGGGTCATCAAAAGGGTTAATGGTGCGCGTCCGGCCACCAATGCGGCCCGTCTTCTCAAAGACCGTGATGTTCACATGGACACCGGCCTCAGCAGCAAACTGCTGGAGAAAGTGCGCAGCGGACGAGCCCGCAGCACCGGCCCCTGAACGGCAATTAGTAACATACAACCAGCTAACCAGAGAGGTATGAGAAAACTAATAGCAGGCAGATGAAAGGGAAACAACTAATGCGTACCAATGATCGCAACCTGCCTAATGGGCTCATTGGTTGACTGCGCTAGACCGGTCCCGAGAAGGGTGATGGCGATGGTAGGAAACCTGAAGTTGATCTTCATGGTGAATGAGGGGGTTCGAACAGGAGTGACGCAACTGGTGCTTCTTCAAAATAACTGGGACAGGTGGAAGGTGGTGTCATTTCTCTCAACCGAGTGAACTACGGATGAGCTGCAACTACTTATATACTTCGCATAACCGTCTGCACCGGCCACCAACCATTCCCTCATATCTCATATTCAGGGTCATTGACAGCAGGCTCGGGCATTGACAGTGCGCATCGACCACCTCGTGTCTGAGAGCTTGGTCGGTTGAGTTCGCTGTCACTTATTCATCACAGAAGGTAGTTGGTCGCATTCCTGACCGCGAGCTTTCGGGCAGGCAGTGACTCATTTGGGTCTCAATAGCGACGAATCGGGGGTTCAATAAGAAATGCATTGATGTAGGCGCCGCATTTTAAATGCAGGATCGCGCTTGTTATTCACATCCCACCCCGTCACATCTCCCTTTCCCGCGCTGGTCGGTCCGGCGCTGGCCCGAGCTTGGGGCGGGGCACCTCTGTCCCGCTAGCGCTGCCTGGCTGGCCCCTCCTTCGCTCGCACCGCACAGCGGGCAGCTCTTGGCACCTGGAATGGAAATCCGCGAAAAAAGTTCGAGATCAACGAAAGCTCCAAGCCCAACCCATCATCTCCGCATCCTCCCCATCCACGCACTGTCAGACTTGTGTCTTGCCAAGTCACTGCCACCATGTCTGCCGCACAACTCTTGAATCCGAAGGCCGAGTCGAGGGTACGCCGTTTACACGTTCTCGGCCGCCGACTGGGGTGCTAACTGCTCGTGTTTACAGAGGCGGGGTGAAGCGTTGCGGGTCAACATCAGCGCCGGCGAGGGCCTCCAAGATGTTCTTAAATCGAACCTGGGCCCCTTGGGCACCATCAAAATGTTCGTTACCATTTTGCACACTGGGTATTGACAGAATTAGCTAACTAGAGATGCAGGTTAGTCGACGGCGCTGGCCAGGTACGAATCGATGCGAAGACGGTGAACGACTGCGGTCCGGCTGACGACACCCCGTAGATAAAACTGACCAAGGATGGCAATGTCCTCCTCCGCGAGATGCAAATACAAAACCCCACTGCTGTCATGATCGCGCGGGCGGCAACAGCTCAAGACGACATTTGCGGTGATGGCACAACTTCAGTGGTGTTGCTGGTCGGAGAGCTGTTGAAGCAGGCCGACCGCTACATTCAGGAGGGCCTCCACCCACGCATCATCACGGACGGCTTCGAGATTGCAAAGAACGAGGCGTTGAAGGTGTGTTTTATCTCCTCGCATCTGCAGCTATTTGCTGACTCGTGCAGTTCCTCGACCAGTTCAAGCTTCCCCGCGAAGTCGACCGCGAGCTCCTCTTGTCCGTTGCCAGGACCTCCCTTGCCACCAAACTCAGCGCCAGCCTTGCCCAGAGCCTAACCCCCGACATCGTCGATGCCGTCCTCGCCATCTACCAAGCACCCGAGAAGCCCGATTTGCACATGGTCGAGATCATGAAGATGCAACACCGGACAGCGTCCGACACCCAGCTCATTCGTGGCCTTGCCCTCGACCACGGGGCCAGACACCCCGACATGCCCAAGAGGGTCGAGAACGCTTACATTCTGACTCTCAACGTCAGCCTAGAATACGAAAAGTCAGAGATCAACTCGAGCTTCTTCTACTCCAGCGCCGAACAGCGGGACAAACTTGTCGAGAGTGAGCGTCGCTTCGTCGACGCCAAGCTGAAGAAGATTGTGGAGCTCAAGAAGGAGGTGTGCGGCAACGACCCGAAGAAGAACTTTGTCATCATCAACCAGAAGGGTATCGACCCTCTGTCTCTGGATGTGTTGGCCAAGAATGGCATCCTGGCGCTCAGGAGGGCGAAGCGGAGGAACATGGAGAGACTACAGCTTGTTTGCGGCGGTGTTGCGCAAAACAGCGTCGATGACATGTCCGCTGATATTCTCGGGTGGGCCGGTCTCGTATACGAGCAGCAACTTGGCGAGGAGAAGTTCACATTCGTTGAGGACGTGAAGCAGCCCAAGTCGGTCACTCTTCTGATCAAAGGCCCCAACCAGCATACCATCGCTCAGGTGACGGACGCGGTCCGCGATGGCCTGCGCAGCGTTTACAACATGATCGTCGACAAGAGCGTGGTACCGGGAGCTGGTGCTTTCCAGATTGCCTGCGCCTCTCATCTGAAGAGCGATGCTTTCGCGAAGACAGTGAAGGGCAAGGCTAAGTGGGGTGTTGAAGCCTTCGCGGATGCTCTACTCGTCGTCCCCAAGACGCTTGCGGCCAACGCCGGTCTTGACGTTCAGGATGCCAGTAAGTGCCAGCCCTCGCTGTCCGTAATGACATTGCTAACGTGTTCCCAGTTGCGACGCTTCATTATGAGCACCGTGATGGCAACGTTGTGGGTCTTGATCTGGCAACCCGGCGAGCCCATGGACCCCACGCTCGAGGGCGTTTATGATTCTTTCCGGGTGCTCAGGAACTGTGTTGCATCTAGCTGCGGTATTGCCTCGAATCTTCTCCTTTGCGACGAGATGCTGAAGGCACGGCAGATGGGGCGGTCCAGGTGGGCCTGCGTCCTGGGTATGGATGGCCCGGAAGAATAAGAGAATCCTGTCTACGTCTGTAAGATACCTGCTTAGACAATGCAATACAATAGACGTGATGGGAGCCAAGCAAATGCGATCTCTGATACATCTGTGTGCGGTGCGGCCAGGCCGGTACGCATCCTTATCGGAGCCCCAAAGCGAGCCAAGGAGGGATGGCGGGGCAAACAGATTGGATTTACATACCCCCGCCAAATTTTTGTCGCTGCCGCGGACCTGCTGCAGCTCCAAAATCCCACTACTACGGCGCAAAGAAGCCGCAAGTTGGTTATTGTCACAGATCAAAATGGCGCCGTATGATAGCGATTCTTCTGGTGGAGAGGAGGATGATTTTACAGAGACCAACGTCCTCCTTGGGTACGCCTCACCCGACGCCAATGGCGAGGAAATCAGTCGCCTCGGAGGTCATCCAGTACGTCGTCTTCGTGCTTTACTGCTTGCCCTTACTCCCTCGCAGGATATCTGCTAATGAGAGGCTCCAGGACTGGCTAGACACAGACAAAGCGCCATCAGCGGCCCTCGCGAGATGCAAGGTGTGCAAGGACCTGATGGTCCTCATCCTGCAGCTGAACGCCGAACTCCCAGAACGGTTCCCAACCCACGACCGCCGGTTATACGTTCTCGCATGCAAGCGGAAGAGCTGTCGGAGGAAAGAGGGAAGCATTCGCGCGATAAGGGGGGTTCGCGTCTCTGCTGAGGCTTCGACTGCGATACCCGAAAAGGACACCCAACCCGAAGAGAAGGCAATCCCCAAGCCTCCTTCGCAAGGGCTAGGGGATGCCATCTTCGGCGCGAAGCCCGCCACAGCATCCGGAACACCACGTGCCAACCCATTCGCGACCCCATCCAGCCAACCAACCAACCCGTTCGCCCCCAAGCCATCCTCCGCAACACCAACAAACCCCTTCGCCAAGCAACAACTTGCAGCAACAACCCCCGCCCCAGAGCCATCCAAGCCCGACCTCGAGGCCACAACAACCGACCTACCCAAAACATTCGCGCAAACCCTCTCCCTCAACAACCCACAAGCCACCCAGGGCCCGCCCCCGCCTCCAGAGCCCTGGCCCGAAGTCTCGGCCCAGCCGGCGCCCTACCCCATCCGCTGGCTCTCCGACGCCGAGTACGAGACACTCGATCCCATCACCCTCCCCTCGGTGCCCCAAGCCACCACGGTGATGGACATCGACTCGGGGGAGGGCCCAGGCTCGAGCGGTGGGAAAGAAGACAAGGAGGTGTTCGAGTCGAGCATGGACGCGACGTTCCAGAAGTTTGCCGACCGCGTCGGGCAGAACCCGGAGCAGTGCATCCGCTACGAGTTTGCGGGTCAGCCGTTGTTGTATTCCAAGGGGGATGCGGTGGGGAAGTTGCTGCATGTTAGTGAGAAGGAGAAGGTCGCGACGAGCAAGGGCCTGCCGCGGTGTGGGAATTGTGGCGCCGGGCGGGTGTTTGAGGTGCAGCTGACGCCGCAGGCGATTCAGGAGTTGGAGTGTGAGGAGGATGGGTTGGATGGGATGGACTGGGGGACTGTGATCGTGGGTGTTTGCGAGAGGGATTGTCAGGAGAGGGGGGTCGAGGCGAGAGAGGCTGGGTATTTGGAAGAGTGGGTTGGCGTGCAGTGGGAGGAGTTGACGATGAAGAGGTAGAACGATGTACGGAGATCAGGATAGCAGTAGCTGTGCGGGGATTTGGAGCCATGTCATGTCTTCGTGTTGGCATCTGCACCTGCAATGAGGCTATGGTCTAAACATAGAACCCATGGTAATCCAGATAGACACCCACCCTCCCACTACCCATCCGCGGCGTGACCATGCCGCCGCAACCCTTGAACGCCGAAGCTTTTGCCACCAGATGCAAGAAGAAACAGCCGCTGAAGAAAAGCGGCGTAACGTTTCCGTCGTCAAAATTAGAATGAACCATTTCCGGCCACGAGGCAACGGAACTACGCGCTGTCCTCCCACGATCGTTTGATGACCCGGCTGAACATATCAACCGATACGTCTTCGCGGATCTCGGTCTTCTTGGCCTCATTATCGGCATTCTTAGGAACCTGCACGACGCCCTCCTCGCCGACCTTCCAGCCGCACGTCTCGACGACGAACTTGGTGGCCTCCTCCTCGCTGTCAAGCCCCAAGTAACCCTCGAGCACGCTGGGCTGCACCTCGCGGAACGCCTGGCCCAGCAGCTGGGCGATGCGCACGCGGATCATCTCCTCGAACCCGGCGATGTCGGTCGTCAGGTCCGCGTAGATGTCGTCGCTGTCGAGCGTCGCCCAGAAGCGGGCGTACTGCGCGCCCTCGAGCTGCGCGTTGAGCACTCGCAGTTTCGACACGGCTTCGGCGAGGTCCGATGTCGAGTTGGGCCCCGGGTTGGAGTGTGATGGAGAAAGCAGGTGTAGGGAGAGGTCGAACTGGGGGGACGGGAATTGTGTCATGGCCTTGACCAGGATGTTGGTGATCACTTCATCCTTGATCCGGTCCGGGTTGAGCTGGTAGCTTGACGCGAGCTGGTTAGCACGGCTTGCCTTGTACATTCAAGCGTTAAGAAACAAAGCGAGAGCATCCTCATATCAGAAAACACTAAAGGTTGACCTCATCGGCGGCCGGGCGGGTTAAGCCCAGCCGTAGTCAGGCTAATAGGAAACGTTGATTGGGCATCATGGAGAGGAGAGCAGGAAGTTGAAATCAGGGTCGGGCTAACTCACAGCTTGAGTAGCGCCCGGTTGGCGTTGGAGTCGCAGAACTTCTCCTCACATTGTTGTTGCAGATAGGCCTCGAGGACCTCGGCTGCTTGCGGGTGTACGATTAACAGAGAGAGGCGTTGATGATGCTGCGGGATCTGCTCTGGCCGCTCTTGGGGGTCTTCACCGTTCATGGTGGGCGAACTTGTGGTTTGACGTCGCGGGGTTGGAGGAGGAAAATTCGGTCCTCGGAGTTTTAGGTCCAACCCTTCCTGGTGGGTCCCACTTGAGATTTGGTTTTGTGTGTGCCAAAATCGGTTAGTGTGGAGGCGGGGGCCGACGCTCAGGGGGTCATGTGCTTACGCGAGCAGCTCGTGGGGCTGAAACGCGCTGCAGGCATTCGGCAACAACGTCATCAGCGACCGCGCGATCAGACTTCAGACTCAAAGAAGACAGCACACTCACCCCCACATAAAAGATATCGGCATTAGGGTTAGATGATTTGGTCATGGGATATCGGTTTTGTTTTATCCTCTGCAGAACCCCTTTAGCTTAGACTTCATGGCTAAACCTTAATATCATCACGGTCACGTCACCCCAACATGTCGAGCCCGGCGAAGAAACGAAAACTTAACCCGGGCGCTAAGCAAACGTCCGCACCCGCCCGAGGGCTAGAGTATTTCTTCGCGAAACAAAGGCAAAATGCGTCCTCGTCAAATACCCCGTCGAGCCAAGAGAGCATGGCTCAATCTAGCCAACCGAGCGACGTCAATGGTCAGTTGACGGACGAAGAGCTTGCGAAGAAACTCCAAGCTGAGTGGGATGCGGAAGTCAGGGGTACTTCTGCCCAGAATACGCCGCACCCCCCAAACCAAAACTTGGATGCTGTTGGTGCGGATGCTGGACCCTCGACACTAGAGACACGCACTCCTGCAGAACCAGTCGCATCACCTTCACCCCAAGTTCCTCAGGCAGTGAAGACTACAAAAACATTGTCCCTTTCCTCAGCTTCGGCGACCGCAGATCAGATAACAACCTCCCTTCCTTTGGACGAAAGTCCACTGACCTTCGAACCCACCAAGTACACTCCGAAACTTCAAGAGATCTGGGCAGCCGAAGGCGACGATGCTTCCTATGCGTTGCTTACTCGATGCTTTGTGTTAGTGAATGGTACCCAGAGTCGGATCAAGATAGTCGACACCCTCGTCAACTCCATCCGGCTTCTTATCGAGGGAGATCCTTCCAGTTTACTGCCAGCCGTCTGGCTCGCAACGAACGCCATATCGCCGCCCTACATCTCAATGGAGCTGGGTCTCGGGGGGGCTGCGATTTCCAAAGCACTCAAACAAGCTTGTGGGCTAGACCAAAGGGCGCTCAAAGCGCTTCATGATAAACTGGGGGACCCCGGTGATGTGGCATTCGAGGCCAAGAAGAAACAGAGTTTCACCCTTCGCAGGCCGAAACCCCTGACCATTAAAGGGGTTTTCCAGTCGCTGGTCAAGATTGCTACCGCCCAAGGTCAGGGCAGCGGGGATATTAAGCAGCGGTTTGTCGACAGGCTGTTACAAGATTCACGTGGAGGGGAGGAGAGTCGATACATCGTCCGGACGCTATGCCAACATGTAAGCTGCAATCGTGTGTTTCGTTCATAGTCATTAACATTTTGTAGCTTCGTATCGGCGCCGTCAAGACAACCATGTTGATCGCCCTATCACGGGCATTCCTACTCTCCAAACCACCTGGTGCAAGCTTCCCCACCCACAATGCGCATGATCTCGCCAAGCTCAAGAAGGATGAGCTAGCCGAGGTATGGGCCAGAGGCGAAGAACTTGTGAAAGCATCTTACGCGCGGCATCCCGACTACAACGACCTCATACCCGTCCTCCTGGAAATCGGTATTTCCGACGAGCTCCTGATCCGGTGCGGACTCACGATGCACATCCCTTTGCGACCGATGTTGGGCAGCATCACCCGCGACCTTTCGGAAATGCTCACGAAACTCCAAGGTCGTGATTTTGCCTGCGAATACAAGTACGACGGGCAACGTGCGCAGGTACACTGTGACCTCAACGGTAAAGTGTCGATCTTCTCGAGGCATCTCGAACTTATGACAGACAAGTACCCGGACCTGGTAGCCCTAGTTCCCAAGTTTAGGGGCGACGGCGTCGAGAGTTTCATCATAGAGGGCGAGGTGGTGGCTGTCGACCGTGCCACCGGCGAGTTAAAGAACTTCCAGACCCTCACCAACCGTGCTCGGAAGGATGTTGCTATTGGAGCCATCACCATCGACGTGTGTCTCTTTTCCTTTGACCTGATGTACCTCAACGGCAAATCTCTGCTCGATCAACCTTTCCGGCGGCGTCGGGATCTGTTGCGGTCGCTGTTTGTGGAAATACCCCATCACTTCACTTGGGTCAAAAGTTTGGATGCGACGTCCCAAGACTCGGAACCAGTCCTGGAGTTCTTCAAATCCGCCCTGGAGAACAAATGCGAGGGCATCATGGTCAAGACCCTCGACAATCTCCCCAACCTTGAGTACCACGGCGACGAGCCCGACCAGCCACCCGAAGAAGCACCAGGTACAACCCCCCCGCCAAAGAAAACCAACACCAACAAACCCAAACGCACCAAGACCACCACCCCTACCCCAGCAATCACCGCCCCCCCACCCCCCAAAACCCGCCGCAAGCCCCTCCTCGCCACCTACGAACCCGACAAGCGACTCGACTCCTGGCTCAAAGTGAAGAAGGACTACAGCGCAACCTCGGAGACGCTGGACCTCGTACCGGTTGCGGGGTGGCACGGGCAGGGGCGCAAGGCGCAGTGGTGGTCGCCGATCCTGCTGGCGGTGCGCAACGAGGAGACGGGGTGCCTCGAGGCGGTGTGCAAGTGCATGTCGGGGTTTACGGATCGGTTTTATAGAGAGAATAGGGCGTTTTATGGTGGTTCTGGTAACGGTGGGGGTGGGGATGATGGTGAGGAGGAAGGGGACGAGGGAGGAGAGGGGGGAGGGAAAACGAATATCCTCGCGCGTAAACCGGGGTTTGTGGACTATGGCGGCCCCGAACCGGATGTGTGGTTTGAGCCGCAGGAGGTGTGGGAGGTGGCGTTTGCGGATGTGACGGTTAGTCCGACGTATACGGCGGCGATTGGGCTGGTGAAGGAGGACCGCGGGCTGAGTTTGAGGTTTCCGAGGTTTTTGAGAAAGAGGGAGGATAAAGGGATAGAGGAAGCTAGTACCAGCGAGTTTTTGGCAGGGTTGTGGAGGAAGCAGGAGGCGAAGGCGCCTGCGGTGGGGGAAAAGAAAGGCGGGGATGGTGTGGAGGAGGTAGAGGAGGACATTATGGAAGAATGATGGTCGTTGATCTTGGTAGTTTATTCTTTGGCTACTTCGGACATATTACCAACTACGACGTCTATTCCTTCCACGCCCGGTACACGATGCGGCAACCATACTTCTCGCCCTTTTTGAGGAGCATCTGGCTCTTCCACTCATCGACGTTGCACGCGTTGACCCAGCGGCTTGGCTCGACGCAGAAACCGCTGCGAGCGCGACGCGCGGCCGCTCCCTGCACTTCCGGCACATCGATGTACTTGCCAGTATAGAACTGGAACGCCGGCTCTGTGCTGGACACCTCGAGGTGGATCTTGGACTCGGGGTGGTGCGCGCTGACAAGCTTGGTCAGCGGCTTCGAGCGGGTGTCGATCGGGACGGTGTTGGGCGCCTCGTTGACGATGAAGCAGTCGTCGATATCCGGTTCTTGCGGGCCGAGAATGAACGCCTTGTTGCCCTCTACCTTGCTGAACGGCTTGGGGCCGCTGGTCGGAATACCACCCTCGTCGACAGGGAGGTAGCTGTTGGTGGCGAGCGTGACGACGGTACCCTCAATGGAGGGGCCGCCAGTGAGGTTGAAGTAGCTGGTGTGTGTCAGTTTACCCATCTTCCCGGCCGCGTCTTGATTTTGGAAACATACGAGTGATTCGTCATGTTGATGACGGTCTCATCCGCACCACCAACCAGCTCCGCCTCGTACTCAATGCCCAGCACAACCACCTCCTTCCCGTCCTGGACCTGCTTTCCGACGGTGTACACCACGGTAGCCTCCACTGTCCCGGGGAAACCCTCATCCCCATCCTGGCTCACGAGAGAGAACTTGACGCTCTCGCCGCCGTCGAGGCCCTCCACGCCCGGAATCTGCTTCACGCCGACGGGAGTGGGCCCGTCCCAGATCTTCTTGCCCCATCCCACCACGCCGCCGTGCAGGTTGTTGGACCCATCGTTGGCAGTAAGGGTGTAGGTCTTGCCGCCGTTCAAGGAGTCGAGCTTGGCGCCCTTGACGCGGTTCGCCACGCGGCCAATGGTCTCGCCGAAGAAGGGGGCGTTGTAGCTCTGGTACTGGGACTGTTCGGGGAAGCCCTGCACGATGTTGACGCCGCCTACGCGGAGCTCCTGGATGATGGCGCCGAGCGGCAAAAAGGTGACGGATTTGTTGGACATTTTGGCGGTGGATTCTTTTGTGGTGTGTTGGTGGATGGTTGTGAGGAGAGTGCGGGGAGTGATGTCAGAGGGAGTGGAGAATGGGGGGATGGAGGGGTCGGTTTTGGCGAGGTTTGGTTGGCTCTTCTTTAAAATAAGAGCTCAATTCGAGTGCGACGCATGTGGCATTTCCCGCAAGCCAAGGTCAGCCATCTTCAACACGGGGCAAACGGGAAAACAAACAGGATGAACTCTCTTGTCGCACATGATGCCAGCCTGATTCAGGCTATATTGCGGGATGAAGGAGTTCCCCTCTTTTGGTGGAGAGCTTGCTGAGGTCCTCCGCTTGGCGTGGATCCTGAATGCGGATGCTGGCAAGTTCAGGGTTAGGGTGACTTACATCTCGGGCGGAATGAAAAGAAAGCGCAAAGTCCCAAACTCTACTTTTTATTACACTCCGTTTCTTTTCTTTTATTTCATTTTTCCAGTGCAGTTATATCTTCACATTTCCTCTTTTTCTTTTATCTTTTTTTTATCTTTCCTAGGTTTTTTTGCTTCCCTTTCAAGTTCGGCTTTTGTTGGCCAGAGGTTAGCGGAAAAGCACTGTATCGTGCTCACCCTGGTGCCACGCTCCTTGCGAGAGGGAGTCAGACGCGGTAAAGAGGCTACCACAAGGCTGGCGCGCGAGTCTAGCAGCTCGTTGTAAGGACGGCTCACTTCCTGGATTGATCAATTAGTATACAAAACAATGCGAAATACTAGCGGCACATCTGATTACTTTAGACGGCTTCTTGTCGCCCGACATGCGATATTATTGAGCGAGGATGAGCCACCCCGATAGCAACGAAGGTGATGACCAGGCTGTTAACCTCCAAAGTAACCCCCTTATACAATACCCGTTCTTCGAGTTCAACTCGGCCTCCTCGTTGCAGATCTTGTGGCCGGCAGAAACGAATTTCAACATGTCCATGATATCGCCGACCACGGCGCCAGCAGCCCGAGAGACGTCAGCAAACAGGTACTCAATCGCCAACGACAAGACGTACCCTGACGTACCCAGTGTCATATGAACGCGACTTATGTCAGTAATCTAACTCCAACGGTGCCATCCTTCACTTTAAGGATTAGTGTTGAAACTGTTACCAACATAGCAAACAACCGGGACTGACTTCTGACCAGAGGGGAGTCATTGATACATACACGTACATAAGTGATTTAAGAGGACCACTAATTATTGAACTTTTAAAGTCGATCTGGGCCCGTGCTTTGAAGCCCCAGTGCGATTCCGTTGTTTCATCACTGTCACAACCCTACCCAACGATTTGGAAACTCCAACTCGCTGTCAACTTGATCCCGTCCCTGTTCACCACCAACAACAGCTTTCTGGTTCGAAATTCCCAACACTCACCCCTTCACATCTCCGACATTTGATAGGAGGAAGATTATAACAAGATGGGATCGAAGAAATGGCAAGCAAAACGCCGCATTCTCAACAAACAGCGAAGAAAGGCGAGGCGTGCTGCCGAGATTGCCGCCCGGAATGCGGGCACTCAAGCTGAAGCTGAACAAGTCTCAAAAGTCTCAGAAAGCGCATCGGCCCCTGAGACCGCGCCACAAGTGAACAAAGAGCCAGCTGGCCAGAAGGTCTCCGCTTCTTCTCCCTCTAGCAAGGTATGTCGGGTTCAATTTTGAGTATCCGAGGCCTCTTCCATCCGGGCTGTTGGTGGCTACACTTAGTAGTACCTTTTTAGTTCCCTTACTCACAACCGTTTTCACAGCCCACCAAGCCCAAAGCAACCACCCCTGCCGCCAGGGGCGAGATCAAAACGATCAATCTCAGACACCGCCTCAGAATCCTGGAGAAGACGGTGGCTGGGACGGTACAAGGCGGGGCCAAGAGAATGAAACAGTATGAGGAAAGAATGCGCAAACTGGAGCAGGAGAATCTTTTGTTGCGAGCAGATGTTGCGGCGCTCAGAAGGGGTTGGTAAAAATTTGGGTGACCATTGAAATGAGTTAATAGTACAGGATGGCAACATTGAAGTAAACAAACGACTTCAAGTCGGATGGAGCGGTCAATGCTGCTGATGAACGCATGAGCGAGACGCGAGGTCTTGACTCTACATATCTCCGGTGTCACCCCAATGCCAAATTATTGAACCCCCTCAACTTAATGTTTTTATGGCAAGCAATGAGATGCATATCTGGTCGAAAGGAGCAATGAATAGGTAGGTACTCTTGGTTGGACGCTATAATTTCCTCTGAGAACTTAAAGCAACAACGTCTAAATTGACGCTAACCTCTTCCTGCATTAGCCAACAAATTTGAAAGACGAAATGTCCAGCAGTCTGAGTTGTTCAGTTTTTTTGCTAACTAATCTTGTTTTCTTATATTCTCGGGCTGCTGAATCGGCGATGTGGGGCCGCCGAGCCAGCTGTTTCGGACCTCTGTGCCCGGGCAAACTCGGACAGTCGGGACGCCCCACTTTCCTAAAACGAAACTCGACTTCACCGCGGCTCATGGCGACGTGGTTGCTCAAAAGATTTTGTTTTCTTTCTAATGGAGAGGTTTTTGCGCTCCGTTGCCCAGATTCTACTAGTGTAATGACTGAATACTAAGTCTTTGCCCCCTCAAACATCGTAGGCCACCAGATTGTGTAAAGTGAGGTACCAACTGGTGCGGTGAACTAATGGAATGAGTCTCTCTAATCGTACGGGTTCGCCAACCTATTTGTACGGGGTCCGCCTCACCGCCTTCCGGAAATGGCCAGCGTTGCTGACCACAGCAAAAAAAAAAAAAATATACAACCTCCAGAGCAAAAGGATCGGTTTGAGTGATTTGAAGATAATAACTATGGGATTGGGGCCTTGAGAATGTATTGCAGGGAAATAAGGCATCCATTCCTATTTGTCAACTAGCCAAGGAGGTGTCCGGTGCTGGCGTCCCGAGCTGTAAAGCTGCGCCAGACGCGGGACCTGCGCCTCCTTCGGTCTCCTCTCCTCCATTTTGGGTACCTCGTTCCCGTTCACAGCCTCTTCCCTGTCCACGACCTTGTCCCCGTCCCCGACCTCTTTCCATGTCCACGACCTCTTCTATGTCCACGACCTCTTCCATGCCCCACGACCTCTTCCATGTCTTCCAGAGTTCTTCGAGTCTGCGAGCCCCTGTCCACCGTCCTCTTGACGGCGTCTGCCGTCGACCCTTGAGCATCCCGGTCTAGATAGATGCGTTCCTTAATCACAATCATATCCAACAAGTTCCGACTGAGAAGGATCGAGTTCGGAGGCTCGTATGTTATCTTCATCAATTGTTATCTTGTTGTGGGATGTTCCATTGGGTATGGGTCTTGGTCTTGTATTTGGTTTTTTTCAGTTGTCATCTATTCTGGGTGTTCG